TCTTCCAGTCCGGCGGCTTTGACTGGCTTCGGAAGATTCTGCGATACGACTAGACTGTTGCCGATTGGAGGAAAACATTTTTCGAGTTTGGTAGGTTTTCTTCAATTCGGTTTCGAGGTTTCGGAATTTGACATGACCTGCGTCTAATAAATCACAGCCTTTTTCAGCCCAGCTTTGGTTGAGTGATCGGACAAATTGGCGAGCCTGTTCTTCTTCGGACATTTCACCGTTTGAACCTAGGTAAGCGTCAACTTTGGCTCTGAAGATATCGATATATTCTAATAAGTCTTTTGAGGAGGTTTGAGACAAATCAGTGATTTCGCTTCGTAACATGAGTTTGACCGACTCTGAATTACTGATATGATATTCGCGGATCGTCTTCCACAGTAAAGAAGGCGACGGTATCGTAATTTTAATACCGTTCTCAAATTTTGATATCATTGATATAAATCGAGTGGACTGAATAAGATCAATACTAGATAGTAGCCAGTAAAACAAGGCTTTCTTGGTGGCTGATAAGACTTCGGGGTCCATACCCGTACCTCCAGCATCTTCTGAGTCAAGATAATGGTCATAGGACGTGGCCATTAATCCAAAACGAATCGCGTCGGACCAGGCAACATAGTTGGATGTTGATAACTTGATGTTGATGGTAATCTTATGTAAGATTGAATTCATTTTGATTGACTGACGTTGAGCGGGCGTATCGGTGTCAATTGGTGCAGTGGCAGCCATATTAGCGGATGGGACAGTAGTATGCGCTGAATGAGCTGATTCGGATGAATTTGAATTCTCTGATTGATCTTCTGTCTGAGATCCGGCGTAAGTCTCGTCGGTATCCTCTGAGTATGGAGCTGGGGTGGATGCAGGTGTTGGTAACTGGGAATCGTCAAGTGCTTCTTCTCTTCCTGACATGGATTTGCGTTTTGAATGAAATAACTAAGAGCTGAACCAAGCTCTCGCTACCATGAAAAGCGACAAATCTCCTTTGTCGAGATACCTGAATTCCTGAATTCCCGTGACAGTTTCTAGAAGTGAGTCTCAATCACTTCTCGTCACAATACCTGAAACACTAACCTGAATTCCCGTGACAGTTTCTAGAAGTGAGTCTCAATCACTTCTCGTCACAATACCTGAAACACTAACCTATAAGGTTTGTTCAGGTCACAATATAAAATAAGGAAAAGGGTCGACGCGATGAGTTCAGTAAGATCTAGCGTCGACAATGATTCAGATGAAAAAGAAAAAGATAACATCACAGTATGATAATTAGTAACAGTCATATTGAAAATCAAACTAATGGAGAGTAGAGACTATTGATGATAATGTAGTGAAGGGGTTGAACTTACTCTTTTCCTTTCCGTAAGAAGACGGATAAAGGAAAAGAGTATTAGCGCGAAAAGGGGGAGGCGCAATTTAAATAGGGATCATTTAAGTTTGAGTCTGACATCTTAAGTTTGAATAAAACTACTGTATTTTAGTATGTAAAGTGATTTGATACTTAGAGTCTTATTCACCTTTCACCACGGCTGAAACCTAGGTACGAGAGACTGAGGTGTCTCTCAACAGGTGTTTCCTTGACTTCTTTCCAAACCGCACATACTTTGTCGTTGTAAGTGGCAAGAGGTTTTGATTCCTCTGGACTGAGTTGTTCACCGCTTTTTGAGACTGTCTGAGGCACTAAAGAGCGTTGGAAAGACACTTTTTAGCTTGGTGTGTCACATCATGAGGTAAATGTCAGAATTACTTGCTTATGTTGTCAACCGTGGCAGCCAAGCTGTATTTCCGGAAGAGGTGGTAGGGCGATATGTCTTGCTCGCGTGCTGCACGATGGCTGCAGAGAAAGACAACCATCAGACCCAAAGTCTTTAGTACAGAAAACATCAAATGACTCAACACGCCGTATCGGAGTGTGTCATATGTAATGCCCCCAGCAAGGCTCAACACTTTCAACCGTGTTGTCAGTTCTTCTTCGAGAGCCCTGGCTTCATACAGGATGAGAGGCGGGATTCGACTGTGACCGGTGGGTTTGGCGCATGCTAGATAGTGTTCGAGCTCAACTTCAGTCCAATCGGCCGCAAGGTCCTTATAATTAAATAGGGTCGGCTTGGTGGTAGGTGTTTTGGGGACAGGCAATCCATTGACATCCACAGGATCAACAGAACTCTCGGGGACGGGGAATTCTGCTTCTTGATTAGGTATCTTGTTTGGTTTGCTGGCTAGCTTTCGGCGGGTGCTTCGCCTCTTTGGCTTATTGACTGGCACATCCTGGGGTTCGTCTACAAGAAAGTGAAGTGAGATTAGTCAATTGAGAGACACAGGGAATGTAAAGTATTTACCATCTTGAGAGTCGGCCTCTTGGTCAAATTCGTTCGTGTCTGAATCAGATTCTTCTGTGAGTGATGCGACAGAGGATGGTCAGGGGAAATGGATTCTAGTAGGCAGCGAAATAAGGAATGAAATTGTAACTCACCTTGATATGATGATGATGATGATGACGTGTCTGATTCCTCATCACTCC